TTAGAATTCAAATTATTTAACCCATCATTCTTTTTTTTGAAGTTAAATTCCGTCTCTTTGTGTGGAACTCGAATCAGCGATCCATAAATCCTGATTAAATCGTGAAGATGACTAATTCAGATCAGATTGTTGATTAAAAAACATTTCGCATGATCGTTGGATGATTTTGAATGATTTCAGTCAACGAGTTCATACAACTTTATCTATTTGTGTTGAAACGGTGGATTTCGATGCGGTCGCGTGCACACTTCATTTGAAGGGTAAAAACGTTGTCGAAAATGAACACGTCAAAATGGGTCAATACCACACACTCGATCTTATGCTCGGCAAAAAATTTCAACTTTATAAACCATGTTGGGACATTGTGGATATGGATCGTTTGAATATGGCTCTCGACGTTCGTTTTTTTTTGTTGTTTGTTTTAACTGATTTTTTGAAGTTATCACACCCTAAAAGATATGGTTCTCCTCAATCGATTGTGCCAACAATCTGATTTTGACTGATGAAGATATGGAAGTTGTCGAAAGGTTTCAATTCTTATCAGCTTGTTAAGTTGTCAGACTCTGATTTCGTAGTTATTTACTGTCTGGTAGAGGAAAGTTTCGATATGATTCAAGGTGACACAGCATGCCGATGTGGCTGCAGTTGTTATGCACGAAGGTCTTGCGCACGTTTGCCTTCTGACCGCATCGATGACAATTGTTCGAGCGAAGATCGATATGCAGGTTGGTGCTTATCTCATTGGAATTCATCGCTGCTTGCATTTAGTTCTCAGTTCTGGCTCGTGGTTTATCATTTTATCGCTTTTCTTCAAAAATACTTTCATTTATTCCATCGACATTTCAATAGTTGTTTAAGAATTCAATAAGTCTACAGTACACAACGAGTGAATACGATTAGAATGAATTTATTCAATGAATTTCTGATCAGTATGAAATGTTCTCGCGAAATGATCTTTGCTTTCAACTGTCGAAGAATTGCTTGCAGTGACGTTTGGTTGTTGTTAAGGATTGTTTCGTTGTTATGAAAAGATAATTTTGATGTTTTCAGATACCACGGAAACGGAAGGGTTTATCGGGTCATCACG